CCTCCCCCCCAACTTACCAATGTTGTGTAAGAAGTATAAATCTATTGGGGAAGAAAGGCCCCCCCATGTATTTCATCGAGTGGAAGGAGATGGATGTAGAAATTCAAAGGTAAATAAAGAAGTGATGTGATGTTATGAAAATTTTCAAAATACGAGTGTGAATCACACACAATGAAACACTTACTCTTTGATAAAAGTTCTCAGAGTACTTGCGATTGATGTTTGTGCTTGCTCTAAAAGAATCTGAGGAAGATACAGAAACTGATGATTTCACCAAACATTTCTTCAAGAATCCAAATCTAGGTACTGTATGTGAGAGAAGAAAGGAATTTTTTCTATGAAAGGAATCTAGTCAATGGTAAAAAAGTGAACTGTCAAGAAAATGATATTGGTACCAAATGTAATGCAATTAAAAGAGTTATCAGTCTATGATACAGTTCCTCTCCAAGGCTTGGTATGGGGCATGTGAAGCCATATAGAAGGTTCACAATTTTCCACTGTAACAGCTACTGTTTACAATATAATCAGTATATTATATAACAATATAATCAGTATATTGTTCAAATTGACTGCCAGAAATCAAACAAAACAAAAATTACAAACAGTACCAATTCTATGCAGCAAAAAGTTTTCATCTATAAATCCTCTGAGTGATTGAAATACTACTTTTTTCAATGAGATATGACAGTTTTTTTCAGGGAGAAATACAGACTGGTATTAAGTTGTCAAGGAATTCTCACTCACTACTAGGAAACTCTGAAGCTCAGTTAGAGCATGAGAGAACTTGTTCAGTGTGGATGAAACCAGCTCATCCCCCACAAAGTACTTGGTCAGGCTGTCAATACCACCCACTAGTGCACTGAAGGAAAAAAGAAAACAGCCTCCCCCCCAAAATACATGCTACTAACAAATATTATAATTTGAATGAGTTATTCAATCCCCCCCTGTGCTGTCCCAGACCCCTGTTATAGAAAAGAGGTTATGACCTGGAAAACCTTGATAAATGAGACAAGATCCTTTGGAAAGATAATTATTGTGAACAATGTCACCCCCCCTGCAAGCTTATGGTGGGTGGATATTTGTTTAATTAAATCAACCCTGTTATTGAGAATCCCTGAAGCTCATTGCTTGCGTAAAAAACATGGTTTGTGTTAAAACCCCCCCCTGTAAATAATCGGCCAGTACTGTGCACTACCTGGTGGATGAGTCAAACCCCCCCCCTGTCTCCACCATTCCATTACAAAGCTTGATCAGCTATGAGTACACAGAGGCAAAAAATAATGTTGAAATGACACATTGTTATATTTCAAGAAACACAATTTATCAAAACATTATCATAAATATAGTTTTGTGAAATACTGGGTACTTATTTCCTAAGCCCCCCCGCCAGGAAAAATTGAGCTATCCGGGCCAACCAAATTCAGCTGATGAGCATGTTGTCATATGACTTCATATCTTTATCCCCTCTTGTTTTCTTCCTGCTTGAATCCCCCCCGAAAAACATTAGGATATTCAACTCTCTCTATCCTTCCCACACTATATCCTGTCCAGTCCTCAAACAAGGAGTTTTAGAACATTTATCAGTAAAAGTGCATGTTGCAAACTTTTCTAAATTTATGGAATTGATAAAAACTCTTAAAGAAATCAGTTGGAACTTACACCCTAGCACACATGCAATTATGGACTTTGTTTTTCTTTTTTGTTGTTGCCCCCCCTCAGGCATGCACTCATTTAAATTTTAACAACATAATATGCTTGGTCACATGTACAAAATAATAGGGATTTGGGATTTTGAGTTGAACTGGACTTGTATTTTTCGTAGGCCGTTTAAAGAAGTTTTCAAATCAATTTTGCAGACAGAAAACTCTCAGAACCCCCCCCACTGGGCCATATGGCTCACATGATAAAGTAAGGTTTTTGAACTTATTCTAAACTTATGGAACCTTAAGACTTTAAGGTCCATTTTCTACAGGAATCTGCATATATCTTTCCTTCCCATTTCTTCATCTTCATTTTACACACTTAAAACAGACATGGTAAATAATTCACCTTTTCCAGAGCACCTTCCAAAACATTGATATCCTGTTCATTTTGATCAATCTGATATCTAAAAAAAATGACATTTATTAGTGATTGATAATGTTAAATAAGGGTGACTAGAGAATGTAAATAATTAACATCAATAATTATTGTTCACTTCTCCTAGTCCTCTGTTAAATGATAACATTACAAACTGAACAAGTTAACTGATATGAAAGCCCCCCCTGATTATGAATGGCACAAGAATGTTTACATCATGATCAAAAATAGAGGCCCCCCCAGACAAGGCAGAGAGGTTAGGGGACTTTATCATGAACATGAGAAACCAATAGGGGTTGTTTTTGAAAACATTTTTCACCCTTTCACTCCCAGCAGTGACCAAGAAATAATTTCTTCTCACACAGCTAAATACAATAACAAGCAGACAAGTAATGAGAATAAATAAAAATATCAATTAGGAGATTGTCATTTACTAGTGTTGTGTAAGAGTTTGAGAATTAAAATTCTCAAACTTTTATTAAGCCTAAATGGCCAGTACTGCATAGTGGTATCAAAAAAAATTAAAAAAATATATATATTACCACTCTTTTGAATCATAAGGGGAGAGAGGTAAAAGCTCCTCTTTAAAAAATGCTTTAAACTAATCATGAATTCCCAGAGAGCCTAATGGTGTTTTCTGGCACTGCAATACAATACTGATATTGCTAAAGTGCAAGCAAGCAAGATTAAAATCTTGCACATTGAAAAAAACAAACACTGCCTTATACTTAAAAATATTTAATTCTTCGGCAACATCCATCTTAAATCCCAGAAGGTCAAAGTCAATGAAAGGCTATCGCAACTCTTTAATAGTTAACAGAATTTGAATACTGCATTTAAAACGAAATGAGGCCGAAATTAGTAAAAGAAACAACTACAACTCTTTATCGACTGCCCCCCCTATTCTTCGTAATTTCTAAGTAAAATATCCGTTTAAAACGAATAAAACTAACTTAAACGTCCTTGATTTGTCCACTGACAAAGAAATTGAAACTAAATTAAAGCTTAGTTTGTAAGTACAAAGTGCGAAACAAATTGTCCCACCTTAAAATTAATTAGAATCGATTCTTTACCAGAATTTCACCAAAGTTTTGAGGGAAAATCAGCGAAATCAAACAACATAGGATGTTAAGCTTCTTACTTTACTTTCTCTAGTGAATAATTTAATTTAATTTTGAACCTAGTGCAGTTGTGGACCTGTAACAAATTATGTATCGTGCATGTCCCCCCCCACTGGGTCAAGATCACAAATTGAAAATACCGCTCACAATTTGTTCAAGAATGATGTCGTTTGAAAACATCTGTTTACTATAGCAAGGAAATACAATGAAGCTCCCCCCCCAAATTTGTTCGAAAATAACGCGTTCATGAATGACATCACGTGTAGTTCCCCCCCAACCGAAAGAAGAACCCGAAAGAAGAACCCGAAAAAAACTTCTGAAAACCCCCCCCGTGAAAATTTATCCAACATAATTTGAAAACTACACTGAACCGAGGAACCCCCCCAACAATTTTCAAACTAGCTAAGACAAAAAGTTACTTATCACTGTGAAAACTAGGGAAGTTAGGCGACCCCATGTCGTGTGACAAAGAACAGCAACAATTGAAACCCCCCCGCCTCGCCTGCGATCACGAGTCCTTCGACATTGTGTCACTCAGTTGTGGATAAAAAATCTTATCTTTGATCACCTGAAACGCGGAGAGTCTTTCAGACACTCCTCGAATTCCACCGCCTGCTTCATTTTGAGTGCTTAGGCTAAAGTTTTATGCCAACCCCCCCCTTCAATCGACTGACAACATCCGGAAATGCAGTTACTCACTTAATCTAGCCCGCCATATTTGTTTTCCAAGTGGGATAACTGGTTACCAATCTCCGACTTGGGACTCCGAGTATGAGTCATGTCATGCGTCACGGGTAGTGGGCGGCTATTGTCTGACCCCCCCCCTCGATTTAATTATTCGATCGGATGGGATTTGAAAGAAGATTACAGCTAGATCTCGCAAGAAGAGCCTCAATATTTCACCGGATTGGGCTGTCATTTCCAAGTAATTTCATTACCCGTCATCAATTATTCGCGATTCTCTTACAGATTCAACACAAATGTTCCTACCCAGATCTGTCGATGAATTAATTGATCCAGTTTTGTCTCAATGAAACCTTCGTGTAGAAGTCTTAGTTGCTTAATTGGGTTTCTAGCCATCTTTTCTTCTTCTTTTGCATTAATTACTGTAAATTATATTCAACATGTCGTGGCAATGGAGAACTAATCCCCCCCAATTTTTGAAACATATGAAATTACGACTCTGTTGATAACCTAGAGAGGCACTAACTCTGTTTTTACTCGACTTTGGGTCTTTTTGTCGATCAGCCTTATTTAACTGCACAGATGCTCTCATTTTGAAAAAAGGAGGATAAGATTATAGAACATCAGTTCCGAAATTAAAGTTATAACATCAACGGGTAACTAACCAGGTCAGCTGAACGATAACCCCCCCACTGAGTTATTTCTTTCATTTGTCCGGAAACAGTAATTGGCCACTAAGCCCCCCCTTTTTCTCGCTGTTTATTGTCGTCAATCCCAATTTAAAATTTATTTTTCCCCCCCAAAAAGATATTTGAAAAAATTGGACTCAGTAACATTCGTTCGATAGGAGTCCAACTTGAATAAAGTATTTGGTTGAAAAAATTTAGCAAGACAAAGATGTCAGCCCCCCCAAACATATCAGATGAGCCTTTGATATATTTCCCTATTCTTCATGTCTGCCCCCCCTCCGTAATTGAAAAAAACCATTTAAATTCATTGTTTTAGAGTAAAAAACGATCGTAGTTGCGACCATGAACGGTAGCAAATCTACATATTCATCTGGCACCTTCCCCCCCCTTTCAAAAAAACAGCATAATTAATCTTGTGAAACAGACGGCTTGATAATATAAAAGAAAAGATTTTTGAAATTTTTCTTTGAATGGATTTTTAAGAAATAATGTGTTCTGATTGGCTATTTAATGATTCGGTTTGCGACAAGCGCGCGCCTTTATGACGTGAAATTCGCGCCAGTTGTCAGTGAAAAAAGTAATGGCTGTCTTCTTGCAAGCCGGTTATGTCTGAAAGACAAGAATTTTTAACGACTACTTCGCTTCGAGATGAAAACCCCCCCGTCGCCAAAAAAATCTTCGAAAGAACATCACAATTCCAAGGCTCAAAAAAGTAGTCATGAAAAACTCAGTGTTAAAAAGTGCGTCGATCCAGCCGTTTTGGCGCTACGAAAGGTTTCAAACATGGAAAGGCCGCCAACTCCGTATGAAAATGAAAACAGAGTGAGTGAACAAGTTTTGGGCCCTGTATTTGTACCAAACAAGTTTTTGAATGGCCCCCCCAGTTATACGCAATATGCAAGAGCCCTGCCTTCTGTCTCCTGGTCTGTGAACAATTCTCCGGTGTTTTGCAAAGTGGATGGGAAAACTTCAAACCTTTCCGAAATATACGGAGTTTCAAAACCTGAAGTAACTTTAGCTCGCAGTCTCCCAGCAGAGGACAAAAAAGGTCTGTTTAAACTCTCAAACGAGGAACTGAGAACCACAAAAAGAGCTCCGTTTCTTCCTAAGATTGATGGAAATTCAAAAACAAAATCTGCTTCGTTTCACAGTGTAGTTTTGAGTGACCAAGGTCTCAGGGGAAGCCCACAGACAAGTTCTGAAATGATCAAACTCCCACCTGCGAAAATACATAACGGGAATATTACCTGCAAAGCAAAGAATTCGCTCCAGCTGTCCATCGATGAAAAAATTACATTGAAGAACTCCTCCCCAGAGGATGTTGGCTCGTCGGAAATTGTCCCGAAGCCTCCAAGTGTTTCTAAATCGAAAGACATGAGCACAACACGAAGAAAAACAAAGCGAAGAAAAGCCGAAGATGAGAGAAGCAGTTGAATTCTAATCAAGAGTAAAAACAAGCTTCTATTTGAGCTTAGAAATAGCTTCAATCAAATCGCTGCGACGAGTTTATATAAACTGCAGACTATTTTGTAGAATCAATTAGTTACTTTGTTTATGTCAATATTTAGACTTTTAATTTTTGAAAAGCAATTTTGTTTATTTTGATCAGAAAGTTTGACATCAAATGCAACATTTAATTTCCGATCTATTTAACTTTTTATTTGTTATCTTTAATTCTTAATTCAAAATCGAAGTATTAGAAAGAGACCAAAAATTTTAACAATGTATTTATGATCAGCCCATGTCGCAAATATACATATATTTTAACAAAAATTACCTTATCTATTTTCAGGTTAATTTGAGGGTGTGTTTCAAATCATACTTTTGCAACTCAATTATTCTGAACGAAACTGAAAATTGAAATGTCAAGAGGATATTTTTAATGCATGGAAGTTACCAATAACGATTAGAGAAATCTCGATGTGATCAACGACTAGATTAGCTCGTAAGTAATCTTTATTGAGTTTAGCTTACTTGAAAAGTTGTCTGCCTTTGGTTTGTTTGTGAACAAAACCTCAAACACGAAATTATCACTGAAAACTTACGAGAAAAACGTAACACAAAACTATCTGAAACTGCAGTTAAAAAGAACTATTCAGACAATGCAGTACCGTTATTGTTTTTTATTATATCATCTGTACAAGTGTTTCAGTTGATGATCGCGCAATTTGGAAAACACAAACGAAAATCTTATTTAATGTAGTAGAATTGGATAATGATTCATACTTTTTATACGCATCATTCTTTTAAAGTTGGGCATTCTACTTCTATAAGGGCTACAAAAACGCCAGAAACTTAAAATATCGGAATTTTTGTGTGTATATGAAAGAACTTTTTCGTAAATATTTCAAATAAATAGTCCCCCCCCTGTGTAGGAAAGTTTTTTTTTTTTTTTTGATATGGGTGTCGTCATTTCCCCCCCAAATATAAAAAGTTTCCAAGGAACGTTTGCTCTTTAAACACAAACCCACCCCCCCAAATATTCATACAAAATACTTTCCAGAATGAGAAACTCCTTAAAGTAACCCCCCCGGTCGCTGAAATTTCAAAATGTAACAAGTTTTTTTTTTTAATACACAACCCCCCCTAAATCCTTTGTAAACAGATAAAAACAGCTTGAAGTCTCAATGATATCAACGAAACTAAAATTAGGAATAAAAGATGAACAGCTCATAGTCCGTCTACAAAGACAGTAGATGGAACAAGTGTCAAAAGGTTGATTCAAAGATGTCGTCAGCTAGTTCACCCCCCCCGCTCACTTAGCCCAAACTCAACAAGTTGCTATTCAGCTCAATCAAAACAGTGTAAACTTTCTTTTCCATGAATGAAAAGTGTTCAAATATACTCTTCAAGATAATAAAAACGGCTGTGAGGACCAAATCGGTAAGAGAATCTCAGAGATTTTTATTCTCAGTGTAGAGGGCTGTACTGACAGCAGGCTGTCGTGTTGGAAAAGCAAAACTCTCCCTGCCATCTCTCGCAGAATCGTAGACGATATTAGACGAAATACAGCGAGGAGTGAAATAACGAGGAGTGGGTAGAAGCACTGGTCGAAAAAGTATGTTCTGGGAGTTATGTTTGGTGTCGTACTCAGTCGCGGCTGTGTCAAAACAACACGTGGGAGCCGAGTAAAAGGGTGACGCTGTTTGTTCTCGCGAGATGTCAAATTGGCTCTGGAATACCAATCTTGTAGGTGCTGGAGTTTGATTGAAAACTGCAGGGATTTCCTCAGGTCCAACCGTAATTTCTGAGGGAAAATACGAAAAGATGATTCATTAGGTAATTTTGAAAACTGTGTTGAACGCACAGTGAATTAAATTTCCATTCGTACTAACGGGGCAAACTATTGCAAGGTAGAAGTCGTCATGGCTTCATATTTACTTCGTAAACCAACATTTTATATCGAAGTTTAGCTGGAATAACAAAGATAGCCCTTTACCCTTTATATTCTGATGCAAGACAATTTTTACATGAAAGTTTGTCAGGATCGTGGCTTGAGCGAGTTTCTTATACATCCCCCCCGCAAATTTGGCACGTGTTTTTATTAACTTTGTTTATCTTTTTCGACTCCAATGACAGCCAAGCGCAAGAGAATCGTGGACTGAACTAGTTTTAAAACAAAAAACAAATATAACCGCGAGAGTTACTACCAAAAATTTTCCATTAAAACTCGTAAGTCTTTCTACGGAAGCATACCTCCCTGTTTCTCGGCTCTCTTCTCGTTCTGCACTTTCTGAATGAATTTGACGGTTATCTCCAATATTTCCGCCTTTTCGAGTCTACAGCCTTTCTTAATCTGCAATTCAATGGATGAGAACAAAATAGGTCGAGAAATACGTAAATTTCCCCCCCAATACATACAAGGAATACATAGATAAAACAGCGCGTTCAATTTGTAAGAAGTTATAAAGTGCACGCTGCTTGACAAATCCGAGTTGTCTTTCACGACTATGGCAGCAAATTCTAACACATAAACTGTACCCACCTCCAGCTCTCTAGCTTCCGGGATCATCCGCTTAATTTGAGACAAGCAATTGTTGATTCGTTGCCTTCTTTTTCTTTCCATCTCAGGTTTTTTAGGTGACATATTGGAAGTGTGACTGAGTTTGCGAAACTCGTGCCCTGACATTTGGCGCCCTTTCTGCGCGTGCGGCGTGCAACTGTTTTATTGCTCGCGCTTGCCTCACGACCTCTATACCCGTTCCCGCCTTTTTTCCTCGCGAGCAAAACAGTGTCAGGTTCAAAGCGAAAAGAGCAAAAAGAAATGGCGAATTAGTTTTTCTGCGGGAATTGTGGTTAGCTACATCTGATCCCAACTTGATAAGAGTGTCCTCTGCTAACCCCCCCGGGAGTGTCCGATATCCGACGAGGGCGTCCGACATGCATCATACCGAACTCATAAACGCCCGAAATCAATCGGACCTGGTGCCCGAAATTACGCGGAACTGCCCCCCCCCGACAGAGACGTGCAGTAATCAGGCAGGGATACCCTTGGCTCTGACTATCCCCCCCAATACTTTTCCATGCACACAGCTGGGAACTCGAACAATTTGGCTCTCGTTATCTTCAAGACTTTTCGAACGTAGATCCATACTAGAACTATGTCAATTTCTCACCCCCCCCCAAACCTAAAGTGTTCTAAAGATCAGAAAAAAATTACAAAGAGGACTAAATAAGGATGCATGCGTATGAAGGGCATTTAATTTAATGTTACCAATCTGCTTTCCCCCCCTTTGCCTTAGCCTGAGGAAGAGGTTAAGCACCATGTCTCTGTTGAGTACCCCCCCTCAGTGGACGATTTTTCAAATCCTGGCTTCTAAACGGGAATAGGGGTCCCCCCCCCCACCTTAAGCCTCATCAAGAGGCTAAGAGTGACAAAGTAGTTCATTACAGTGAAGAGCTGTCGCTTTCAAGCAGAAAGGTTACCAGTTGAGCTAAGAAAAAAATTTTAATGAGAACCACTTTACTTTTCACCCCTGGGATCCCCTACATCTCAAGTACCCCCCCCATTAACATCACTGTTTAGAAGTGAGATTTCTCTCAACTTGGGCTGCGCCCCCCCAAAAGAAAAAAAAAAACGGGGATACTTGAATTATTAGAATTGTAACCACCCCCCCACCACTAAAACTTTTTAAAATTATTTTATTTTGAGGTAAGGTATTTTGCCCCCCCAACGCGGAAAGGAAACAACCCAACATTCACGGGCACAAATTTGAAAACCCCCCCCAACATGAAATCGCTAAATGAGTGATAATCATTCACCATATTTCAGAGGCAGGATTGGGGTGGGAAGTGTGAATGAGAGAAAGGCACGTTTATCGTTTTTTTCCCCCCCCCTTGTCTGAACTTTATATGTTTAATTAAATATTCTCCCATGGATCCTCTATTTGGTCCCATCATGCAGCGCAGGATGAGAACGCATCACGTGACGTGACCAAACAACGGCTGCACGGAAGACCAGTGTCTCAATCATCGGTGGTCACTCTTGCGTTCACAAATCCACGGCCTCCATAGACTTTGATTCTCTGGAGCAACAATTGTTTGTGGATCAGTGATAGGCGGAGGTACTTGAGGGATGAACTTGAAAGATGTCGGCTGCTGTAACATGGAATCCGAAACTAACCACCTCAATTTGTCTGAGTGGAGCTCACTTGATATTCCCCTGGCGTGGGGCGGGAAATGTGAAGAAATTGAAGAACACAAAGATTTGAGAGCATTTAAGGGTGCCATACATGTGGTCTCCACGGATATGTCATCTCTCTCCCCATCACCCCCCCCCTCTGGTGGCCTTTTGTCATAACCGGTTTCGACAGACAAGTTATTGACTTCGGAAGAGCAAGTCCAGCGAGGAAATGACACCTCGCTCCCCCAGACTGATGTTTCCATGGGCTCTCGTGATAACTTCACGTTGAGACCATCAGTGCATGAAAAAGTACCCCCCCCTTGGACATAGGGCCGTTGCTCGCAAAAAGTACACAAGCAACAAGTTGGATACGAGGTGGTATCACACAATTTGAAATTCTCGTTTTCTGTTGAGAAAAATGTATGAATTATTGATTTATGCTAAGGGCGCATATTTTACCATTTAGTATATAACAAAAAGCTAATGCTAACTCAGTCTCTGTGGGTTTTTCTTTACCGTGTTGACTGGATCGCCCCCCCTCCACGACCAGCTGAAGAATCTTTGTTTGCCTTAATCGGTGGCCAAGTTGTATCTGTTGACAAAATAAAAAGCAATGGTAACTAGCGCCCAGTTCTTCGAGAAGCACTCTTATCCAACCCATTCTCGTTCCCAAACCTCATTAGTTCTTATAGTATGGCCCCCCCGATACCATTTTTCCAAATCGATACGTTACCGAGTACGATACTGACGTTCCCCCCCGATATCGATATTGTGACGTCATTGAGTTAAATGGTAAGTCATGTGATTCCCCCCCCGAAGTATTGAGGGTACAGGGTTATCTTACACTGTTTAAGTTATGCAGCCCCCCCTGCTCTATAGCAGGGTCAATAAGACAGTCAAAAAAATTTAAAATTGGACCCCCCCCGTACTTAAGTCGAAACTCATGGTCATCAAAGAGTTCACTCTTGTAGCGCTCGCAGGCCACTAAGACTGGTACACTGTAGTGGTCATTGCCCAATCTCGAGCCCAGTCTTTTCGGCTCCTTGTTAGCGGTTGGTCGCCTGGAGTGAGACAAAGCGCAGCCCCCCCCGTGCAGTATTGAAAGCACCGATACTTTTCGCTAGTATCGACATTTTGCGATCAGACCTCGGTATCGCCGGAATCGAATATTTGATATCAGTATCGGCCCATCCCTATCTTTCAGCCATCAAAGCCTCTGTACGTGTAAAGGGTCTGTTTGCCGAACAGATGGGCTCGATCTGAGCATATGGTATTTCGTGGACTGGACTGGACTGGACTGGACTGGACTGGACTGGACTGGACTGGACTGGACTGGACTGGACTGGACTGGAC